TCTATAAGAATTTTTCCAACATTTTCTTCTAGAATTCTAATAGTTTCACACCTTAGGTTTAAGTCTGTTACCCAGCGTGAGTTGATTTTTCTCAGAGGTGAAAGGTGTAGATCCTGTTTCCGTCTTCTACATGTGGCTATACAGTTTTCCCAGCACCATTTATTGGATAAGCATTCTTTTCCCCAGTGTATGTTTTTGTCTGCTTTGTCAACGATTAGATGGCTATATAAGAATGGTTTTATATCTAGGTTCTCAGTTCTGATCCACTGGTCAATGTCCCTGTTCTTGTGCCAGCATCAAGCTGTTTTCATTACTATCACCTGGTAGTACAGTTTGAAGTCTGGTAAATTGATACCTCCCATTTTGTTTTTATTGCCTAGGATTGCTTTTGCTATACAGGGTCTTCTCTGCTTCCATACAAAACAGAAACTTATTTTTTCTATATCTTTGAAAAATGACCTTGGTATTTTAATAGGGATTGCATTGAGTCTTTAGATCACTTTCAGTCGTATAGACATTTTCACAATGTTGATTCTGCCAACCCATGAGCATGGTATGGTTTTCCACCTGTTTACATCCTCTGCTGTTTCCTTCCTCAGTGTTTCATAGTTCTCCCTGTAGAGGTCTTTTACCTCCTTAGTTGAATATATTCCTAGGTACTTTATTTTCTTTGTTGCTATTGTGAACGGTATTGAGTCTTTGATTTGGTTCTCAGTTTGACTGTTATTGGTGTATATGAATGCCTCTGATTTGTGTGTATTGATTTTGTATCCTGAGACTTTACTAAATTCATTTATCAATTCCAGGAGTCTCTTGGTTGAATCCTTGGGATTTTCTAGATATAATATCATATCATCAGCAAAGAGTCAGAGGTTGATCTCTTTTGCCCCCATTTGGGCGTCCTTAATTCCACTCTCTTGTCTAATTGCTATAGCAAGGGCTTCCAGCATTATGTTGAATAGAAGTGGAGATAGTGGGCAACCTTGCCTGGTTCCAGTTTTAAGTGGGAATGCTTTCAATTTTTCCCCATTCAGTATGATGTTGGCTGTGGGTTTATCGTATATGTCTTGTATCATTTTTAGGTAAGCCCCATCTATGCTTATTTTGTTAAGCGTTCTTGTCATAAAACGGTGTTGAATTTTGTCAGATGCTTTTTCTGCGTCTATTGAGAGGATCATATGGTCTTTATTTTTGCTTCTATTTGTATGGTGAATTACATTTATAGATTTGCATATGTTCAGCCATCCCTGTATCTCTGGGATGAAGCCCACTTGGTTGTGATGGATTATTTTCTTGATAAGCACCTGGATTTGGTGTGATAGGATTTTGTTGAGAATTTTTGCATCTATATTCATAAGGGATATTGGTCTGTAGTTTTCTTTTTTAGTTGCGTCCTTTCCTGGTTTTGGTATCAGGGTTATGTTGGCTATATAAAATGTGTTGGGGAGGATCCCATCCTTCTCAATGTTGTGGAATAATTTCTGCAGGATAAGCACCAGTTCTTCTTTGTCGACATGGTAAAATTCGGGTGTGAAACCATTTGGTCTGGGACTTCTCTTTTTAGGAAGGTTTTTTATTGCTGTTTCAATTTCAGTACATGATAGTGGTCAGTTCAGGAATTCTATTTCTTCCTGGTTCAGCCTAGGGAGGCTGTGTGTTTCTAAAAATTTGTCCTTTTCCTCCACATTTTCCACTTCTGTGCATAAAGGTTTTTGTAGTATTCATAGGTGATATCGTGTATCTCCGTGGTATCAGTTGTAATTTCTCCTTTTTTATTCCTGATGGAGCTTATTAGAGACTTTTCTTTTCTGCTCGTCATCAGTCTTGCCAAAGGCATGTCAATTTGTTTATTTTTTCAAAGAACCAACTTTTTGTTTTATTAATCTTCCATATAGTGTTCTTTTTGTCAATTTCATTTAGTTCTGATTTGATCTTATGAATTTCAGTTCTTCTGCTTGGTTTGGGGTTGGTCTCTTCTTCTTTTTCCAGCTCTTTGAGTTGATTCATTAGGTTGTGTATTTGTGATCTTTCTGGCTTTTGGATATAGTCATTTATGGAAATAAACTTTCCTCTCAGGACTGCTTTAGCTGTGTCCCACAGGTTTTGGTAACTTGTGTCTCCTTTGTCATTTATTTGATTTCTATCTTGATTTCATCATTTATGAAGTAATCGTTCAGCAGAAGGCTGTTTAGTTTCCATGACTTTGTGTAGAAATGAGAGTTTCTGTTAGGGTTGATTTCTACTTTTATTCCACTGTGGTCTGAGAATATACATGGTATCATTTATATATTTTTTTAATTTTTTGAGATATGCTTTGTGTCCCAGAATATGGTCAATCTTAGAGAATGTCCCATGAGCTGATGAGAAGAATGTATATTCAGTGGTTTTTGGATAGAATGTCTTGTAAATGTCAGTCAGCCCCATTTGTTCTAGAGTTTGATTTAAGTCCATTATTTCTTTGTTAATTTTCTGTTTGGAGTATTTGTCCTGTGCTGTCAGCAGGGTGTTGAAGTCTCTGGCTACTATGGTGTTGCTATTTATCAATTTGTATACATCAAGTAGAGTTTGCTTTATGAATCTGGGTGCACCTAAGTTGGGTGCATACATATTTAGAATTGTTATGTCTTCTTGTTGAA